TGTTGGTGCCTTCATATATAATTCATAAGAATGAACGACGCCAAAATTATAAACAACGTCAACTATCGGCACCGAATTAAAAATAATTAAAACTGACCAAACGGTTTTACACGAACTTATTTTTCTCCTTTTTACTTTTGAAATACTCGACAGACTTGTAATCTTTTTGAGCGTGTGTTGTTTTTCGTTTTCCTTCGAGCTTAATTTTTCGGGACCATTTGAAATGATAATTTAACTAATTTGGAAAGGAGAAGTAAAAAAACGCGACCTTTTAGGCGTAAACAACGAAATTTTTAATCGAAGATTTCTCGCTTGGATACCATTGATGTTCTGGCCATAGTTGTTGTTGTGCATAAGAGTCAGTGATAACAGGAAGTTAAACTGCAAAGCAACGCAAGCATCTCAAAGGCAAGTTTTTCCTAAAAAATAGAAAGAAAAAAATTTGAAATCTGTAATTGAAAATGAAATTCAGCGAATTTATTCCAATTAATAAGTGAAGCTGTTCATTATTTTGGAGGATAAAATAGGGATAAAGAATAAAATATGCTAAAAAGATAATTTAGGCTTAGCCAAGAACACACTTTTTTAAAGTGGTAGAGCTCTGCAGTTTTGAACATCAACATCTTTATAGCATTCTTAAGGCTAGTACCGGATCTTCAAAATTCTTCAATGAATTTTTTTTTAAATTCTGTCATTTGAAGTTCATTGTTAGGGTATTCAAATAATGAAAAAAGAAAAGGGGTCGCCGTATTGGTTATCGAGATATAAGGCTTCAAAAAGGAGAGATTTTTCAGTTTTCCGCGCGTTTTTGCCGAAAATCTGCCTCCTTTAATAAATTCGAATTACTCGAATCGATTTAACAAAGAAAAACAGAAAACTGTTTTAAACTATAGGTGCTGAGTCTAGAAAACATATCTAGATAAAAAATCCATCCAATCTTTTGCAAGTAGTGTGAAAAGCTAATTCTAGAAGCGAAATTGCTTGTAATTCGGCGCAGTTATATGCGTGTGTAGTTGTAAAAATGTTGAAAATTCATAACAATTTTAACTATGATTTTTTTCTTTCCGCGCTAAATCCAAAGAATATGATATCTAGCTCCGAATGAAAAGGGAAAAAATGGGGGTCACCGTACTAATAGACGAGCTATGAGCGACTAAATCCAAGTTTTTGGTCAAAAAACACAAATCCTGTCCGCGCGGGACTGGGTTCTAGTACATTAACCTCCATCTGAAAACATGTCAAATCGTCTTTGTAATCTCCAGAGAATCTAAGACGTATTTCGAATTGATTTTGAGAATAACATGTCAAATTCATTTTTTGTTACTTTTTTGTTGTTTTGAATCAAAAGAGTGATCAAGTCAGGCAATGAAAATCTAAGCATGTTTTGAAAACATTTCATTTTTGCCCCAAAAGGTCCATGAATTAGCGAAATACTTTGTTAAGTTATAGGAAAGGATTCAAATTTTGACATTATTTAAATCAATTTTCAAAACAGCGCAAATAAAGGGTAAAAAACGAGATGCGCAAAATGGATGCGCAGTAGCAAGGGTCCGGAACTACCTGAAATCGTACCAAAAAAAGCACTACATGACATATAATTTTTCACTAACYATTATCATATTCTATATGTATTGCAAAATATATTTATTCATTTATATGTAATATTAGTTATATTACTGCTTTATTGAAGCCGAACTTTCTTAACTTTTCCGCCTTACGCCAGAAACCACCTGCGCATCATGCTATATTTTCAGTTACTTTAATTTCCTGTGCTTGTCAAATTTCGTTGTCTCTGATGGTCTTCCGGACAAGCTTTATCAAAAGTAGCGTTTTTTACTTGACTTTCGGTCGAGTCCATTACATATATCTCTTTGATGACCTTCAATTCCAAAACGACGCCAAACACTGAGTCATTAAATGTGTTGGAGAATATTCCTGTCGAATAGAAGCTTGCTTCCTATACACTGAATCTGAAGTCAGTATTTATCCGCCTGCGAAAACCCTAATCTACATCTACATTTTATTTATTTAGTTTATTTATTTAAGTCAATATTTATATATCTAGTTTAGCAAGGGTAGTTTAAATAGAGTCCTGAAAAGTTGGTTAAATAGTAACATGCTTTCAGTTCGATTCCGTTGAGCTGCGCCATTGCTGTACTTGCAGTAGTGGTTAGCGATAACATTTTTTTCCACCGAACTTTTAGATCTAACTTTTAAAAAATCAAAGTTATGAGAAAATGTAGGCCAGGAGGTCCGGATAGGGAAAAACTGTGCCTGAGGTCTTGAATATACGAGGACACAGTTTTTCCCTATCCGGACCGACTATATAGGACATGTAGCAAATAACTTTTTTTTTTTTTTCCCGTATCTTTTTTTTTTTTACTTGTTTTTGTAATCATTTTGTTTTGTTCTTTAGCGGCAAAGGATACCGGACCGCGAGCGCGGGCAGATACTGACAAAATACCGCCCGCTCAAACAGCCAATCAGAACGCACGGTTTTTTAGGATACCGGACCGGAGAAAATATAGAATTTCATAGGATATAACRACAGCGAAGTTCCTGACTCCCATGCAACCACACACAGGTCTAATGATTTTCTAGTCAAGACTATTTGCAATTCGTCGTCATTCAATTATAGTACTTCACAATGACACAATTATGAACAGTGCCCTAGATCGATTCAATTTTTAATATTTAATATTTTTTTGCCTTCGGTTAAGTGCCTTTTATCTTGCTCTGGCTATTGGCGTCTTTTTGTTACTTTGGATGTGCAGGTGTTGGAAGCCACATGTTAACCAACCCTCGAAAAACGAGGACTATTCAATTCGAGGAACCGTTTCTGATTGTAACGATATTCAAGCCTAACCTAAGGCACATAGTACCCAGATCTATTGTTCGTATTGTTAATGCTTCATACGGAAAACCATTTAAACCAATCCATCCAGTTGAAAATTCATTCGCTAATGGTCTAAAAAAAGACGCTGAAAAAACTTGTAAAACCTAAAAGTAAAATTCTTTTTCTGAGACTCATTTCCAAAAAACAAACTTGGTAAGTTACAAATATCAGTTCATGTAGAACATGTTTTGCTTTTCTCGGTGCAGTAATACTAGTCATTTATACTTCGTATTAACTCACGGCTCGGCTCTATGTAAATTATAATCAATGTCAAGATGTGTGGGTACGTTCTTCATCGTCGAGCATTCCGCACTCAGACAGTTTGATGGTAAAAGAATGAGAGTCTAGTTTGTCTGCATCCAAGATTCAGGCATTTTGAGCTAATTCTCATAGAGGTATTCACTATTTGATTTGACGTTTAACAAGGATCCTGGGTTGACGTCATCATTTCTTGATTTCTATATTGATTAGATCAGCAACGAAAAGAAATATCAGAAAGTAAAAACCATTCTTATTTATTTATAAGGGCTTTGAAATCGGGTAGAGATCCTGTAGGCTTAATCATCAATTCAAGAGATATTAAATACCATCCTCTTCACGTAAATGAGATCCGCAAATGTTTATTAAACAGGAAAAATAGCACCAACTATTAAGCTAAGGCCAGGTCGGTGCTAATAATATGGGCTGCCAGCTGGTCGACAAATCAGATGTCAGATGAATTAGCTATAAGATGAATAGATTTAAACAAACTTCACCAATAACCTCAATATCGTAAAAAGGCCGAACCTATATGAGAGGACGGCAAAAGATCAACTATAATAAGAATAGAGGAAAATTTATTCATTTGTTAAGACGGCTTGCACTTCAATGAGAACGTTTGCGTATACTCAAGGGAACGGTTAATGAGAATCCTAGAGAGAGAGCGACAATAATATTTGCTTAATGCGTAGCGAGAGATAAGCCATAACATATATATGATATATTAACTTGGCGTTGGCATATTCGTGTTTTGAATTCGCGGTGTAAAGATTTAGTTATCTGCAGCTATAGTTACCAGCGTGTAACCTATATCTATCGGATTATAATCAGGCGCCAACTATCGCCCTTCTCTGACGTTTAGTGGACTTAGTAGTTGATGATTTAATAACATATGAATATAGCAGATCGACACCTTACATCCACGATAGACAGTAAATACTATCTTGAAAAGATTTATTTGATCCGGAAACGTTTGAGGCTGATGTGTGTCAATGACAAGAAAGAAGAAAGAACGGGGAGGGGGTTGAAGTACAATGAAAGTGAATAATGAATGAGTGAATGAACGAAACAGTTCAAGGAAACAAGGAAGGAAGGAAAAAAGAACCGAATAAATGGGGACGGATGGATGGATGGACGGATGGACGGACGGACGGACGGACGGACGGACGGACGGACGGACGGACGGAGGGAATGGATGGATGGATGGAATGGACGACGTCACTGCAAAACTGAGGTGTCCTGAAGCCTACAAAAATTGGCCGGTGAAAAATAAAAACCTGTCCACCTTTGCAATAAAAATATATAATAATCATTGGTTATTGTGTTACTATTATCGACCCCCTAATAGCAACGGGAATTTTTTTCATTTGGTGTCTTGGAAATCCATAATTTCAAGAGGAAAAGTGGCACCTCAGCTTTGCAAATTTTCTTGATTCTGATTGGCTAAAAAACGTTTAAAATCAGCTGGCATTATTTAATCAGTCTCCATAAAAAAAAGTTCGATATGATTGTCTTTTTCAACATAATGAATCTTTAATCGTTTATCGAAAGTACAAGCCTGTTTGATGACAGTCGGATAAAACATAGACAGGAAGATGGTCTTAGAATATAAAATGTAAGATTAATATAAAAGATTTCGTGTTGCTTAATTGATTTATTTTTTGAGAAATATTCTGAGCTTAATAACACGTAATTAAAAAAAAGTATGTGTCCACACACCTGCGAACTCACCATGTGGGATGTCATTTCTGCTTTCATATTACCATTGACCCCTGAAAGGCTGTCATTTTTTGATTATATATTTTATGACGTTAACTAGAAATTTTCGTTTTGATGAAGACATCATACTAAGTGGAGGCTGTTTTGATCTGCTCTTTGAACTACAAGCTGGAAAAGCAGGTGCGCGAGAATAGAGATAAAAGACGCAAACAAGCCAGGTAGAGCTAAATAGCGTAACCCCCCTTGAATCATAGTTAACGGCGACGCTTATTCAGTGCTTTTGGAGGCGGTTTGGTAAAACAATAGGCTGTTGACTTGTTCTTCTACCGTTAATATCACAGGTTGTGCAACGATATTGGTAAGATATACTTTTTGGTAAGATTAAGTTTACTCTATCACTAGCTCATTACAAAGTATATATAATTTTACATTATTTAACGTGTGTCTTACTTGCATTTTACACCAAAAGATACGACAACCAATTCACAACCAGTTACCTTTTTCCCCAGAAAGTTTAGGATTTACTTTCTATATAGTTTAGTTTTAAAATGATAAAGAAAAGAAATGAATTACACGTAGTTCTTAGACTGATGATAATTATTACCTTTAGCTAGATTATACCTTGTTTTAAACAATTATTATGAATTTATAATTTAAAAGGTTTTTGCACCGTCCACACGTATCCATTTGCGTTTCAAAACAGAGTTTTTTATTCCGTTTTCAAAAATAATATCGTCCATTCTTAATGTTTTTGAAACGTTTTCGCCCGTCCAGCAGGAATATGACGATAAATACACCAGTAGGAGAGGAAAACGCTCTTAAAACAAATTCGTGTCATTTTGGTTTTGGAACAAAGGGTAATCCAATACAGTTAAGTCTAGGTTTTCGAAAAAAGTCGAGTTTCCAAGTAATATATACACCGGATACGGGTGGACGGAAGGCCAACAGGCAAACAAAAAATTCTTTTTTAAAAAAAAATCCGGATACGTGAGGATCAAACCTGTACTTGACTTGAGTATAACTTCAAACAATATAAATTTTATAATTCAACATCGATTATTAATTAAAAAAGCTAAGACTAAATTCAAAAGTCGAACTTCATAAGTGTATCCAAGTGTGCGCTTGAGTCTAACGTCAAACTTATTTTGGTCGATCTTTAAACGACTGGGAGGGGGTGACTCCGTGGTAAAAGTATCGGGTATTTGGTCGTCGTATCTCCAAATCAGCGATTTGGTATCTTTTAGGACGTTAAAATTGAAATTTAGATTTTCAGCATACATTTTGGTATCTTTTAGGGGTTCAAAATCGTCCAACAACGACCTTTTTAAAAAAATTCCGGTATCGGTATTTCTGAAATTTTCCAACGAGCATACCCGATACTTTTACTATAATAAACCATATTCCCTCGTTCATGTGCAGTATATTGGTCAGCTGTCATATCATCGTATTGTGTGTTGATAATCTTTAATGAGGGAAACCTACTCACTGGACGTGGTTTTCAGTAGGGCCCTAAATAAGAATATACAACGAGTAATATTACAATAATACAATTAAAGAAATATGAATAAACAAAAATATGCATAAAAACAGAAATTAAAATGCTATTATGCGGCGTCCACAATGGTGATTTGTGAATGCCATCATCGTTATCAATCAATTTTAAATATTTTGAAATAATAACATTTTAAAATATTTTTGATGAAACGCAAAACCTATTGAAAAAATACGGAACAGTTTGACAGTATTGATTTTTTTTTTTTTTTTAATTATCCTAAGTTTTTTATGATATCTGACTGCTTGAATAGTTATTATCAACAACATCAGCTCGTCTTTATATCCGATCTTATTATTCCCATCTATTCATTTATTTGCTCACTTATGATCACTCGACTATAGTTTATTTTTCATTCGTTGGAGCGTGCGTAGATTCGTGTCTTCCTATTTATCATTCCATTATTATTCATTTTCATTCCTTCCTCCAGTGAAAAATATATAATTACCGGCCTTATCACTTAAAAATGCATCTTAAAAATTAGGGACTGTGCAATAATTATCGGGAGGGGG